CTTCTGTAAGCGCCTGAAGACCTGGCTCTGCCAGTTGGAGCTTGTGGTTGATGGACCAATAGCAGTTCCCACCTCACCCCTGTACATTCTGTTCCCTTCCTATTGTTCAGCCATAACCTGTATTTTATTGTGAATATAAACAAACACACATGGTTTTATTGCTTTAATCTAAAATGCCTGGAGTCACTTCGCAGTGAGATGGGTGGCAAACAAATTTAATAAATAAATTAATAAAATCTCTGTAGAGCATAGTTGTTGATGGGAATTATATATTCCAGCATGCTGTTGTGGTTGTATATTTACCCATGTATTCATGCAGGTATCTTTGGATTTAATTTTCCATTACTTGTTTTATGGTTGAATACTGATTAGAAAAGAATATAGAAACTTCTATTTAATACTGTCATTGGAACTCCAAAAGGTTCCCTCCCAATCATTTTTCCTTCCTGATAACTCTTTCATCATGTCTAACAGCCTCCTTTAAACTGCAAAGCTGGCGAGCACAATGGGAAAAAAACAAAACAAGAAGAAAGTGGAGGCGGTCTTAGAAGAAGAAGAGGAGGAATACGTGGTGGAGAAAGTTCTTGACAGGCGGGTAGTGAAAGGCAAAGTGGAGTACTTGCTGAAGTGGAAAGGCTTTTCAGAGTAAGGCTGCTATCCCTTTATTTTCATAGTTTTGTTGAACAGAAAGATCAACTGGGTTCAGTTTTTCAAACCTTGTGTTAACATTCCATAGTGCTTATTAGAATTGTGGCTTTTTAGAAATCCAGTGCAACTTTTAAAAAATCTTACCTTGTGGCAATGTATCCTGTTCAAATCAGAAACCACTTTTTGGGGAATAATCTCTACCTATTCCTGCAGGATATTAGTGCATTTAAAAATCAGGGTAGGTTTTTCTTCCCCAAAAAGTGCATTCTGATTTGGACAGTTCCTTGCTTACACTTATTTAGGTTACTGGTGACAAGCAGATACTTCTGTTTTGCCAGGGATGTATTGGCTGTCCCTGTCATGCATTATGCCTTTTCTAAGGGGCAATACCTGGGTTGTCCAAGGTTGGTTGCCCTTCAGGATGAAGAGGCCTTACCTTAAAACATACATCTATGAGTTAATGAGGAAAATAATGGCCATGTTGCGGGCCGGATCCAGCCTGCGCGCCTTGAGTTTGACACCCCTGCTTTATAGTGAAAGACATGGTCCAAAAACAGCTGTGCTATCTCCCTTGCTGTGGGCAAGGCTTTACAACAGATGACGTGCCATTTTGTTGAAAAGATCTACCACCACCAATATGGAGGTATAGCCTTGGACCAGTGGTAAGTCAGGAATAAAGTCCAATGATACCATGTGCCAGGGCTGGGGAGGTTTTTCCAAGGGCTGCAATGCGAGAAAACATATCAATTGATGTCTGTTGCCATCCTAGGCCAAAAGTCTCTCAATGTGTAAGCGTCTTGAAGACACTTAAGTGGATACCTATAAAAAGTCTACAAAAATTCCAGATGTTTGAGATGTAAAAAAATCAGACCAAGATAAATCGCTTCTGTTCTTTCCACCTATAACAAGGTTGAGGAGAAAAAAATAACAATAATGTACAATAATGTAGTTGCACAACTGTACACACCCTTAAACTAATACTTTGTTCAAGCACCTTTTTATTTTATGACAGTATTCAGTCTTTTGGAGTAGGAGCCTATCAACATGGCACAACTTGCCTTGGGAATCTTTGCCTACTCTTCCTTGCCAAAACGTTCCAAATCTGTCAGATTGTGAGGGCATCTCCTGTGCACAGCCCTCTTTAGCTCACCCTGTGGATTTTCAATTGGATTCAGGTCCAGGCTCTGCCTGGGCCATTCCAAAACTTTGATCTTCTGGTGAAGCCATTCTTTTGTTGATTTGGAGGTATGCTTTGGGTCATTATTGTGTTGAAATGTGAAATTCCTCTTCATCTTCAGCATTTTGACAGAGGCCTGCCTGAAGGTTTGGTTCCAAAATTGACTGATTTGGATCTCTTCCTAATTTCCTCCACCTTGACTAAAGCCCCAGTTCCAGCTGAAGAAAAGCAACTCCAAAGCTGCCACTACCGTGCTTCACTCTGGGTATGGTGTGCTTGTGGTGATGCACAATGTTATTTTTGCACCAAATATGCTTTTTGGAATTATGGCTAAAAAGTTCAACCTTGGTCTCAAGACCATAACACATTTTCCCACATGCTTTTGTCAGACTTGATGTAGTTTTTTGTACATGGTAACGGGGCTTGGATGATGGGCTTGATCAGAGTCAGTTTTATTGAATGCAGATGTATACTGTCTACTATTTAACATCAGTTTGAATGTGGTTGGTTAATTCTGAACACAGCCATATCTCTACTTATAAGAGGGTGTGCACACCTATGCAACCATGTTATTGTACATCTTTTGTTTTTCTTCCTAAAAGATGTCAGTTTGTTTTTCAATTGAATTATATAGCTTATATGTCATATTAAAAGGGGGGAAAATTCTGAAGTGATTTATCTTGGTCTGATTTTTTTACATCTCGAAAACCTGGCCTTTTAACGGGTGTGTAGACTTACTATATCCACTGTGTATCATGCAACATTGCTTCCAGTTCAGTTCCAGCAATATTTTCAGGTCTTGTAACTTGTTTATGTATAGGATTTTTTTTTGTATGCACTCATAAAAGTGTCAGCATTTATTCCTGGTTTCAAATGAAAGCCTTTTGGTGCAAAATCTATAGATTTAATACTTTTCTTCCATTTATAGAAAATTGCTGTTAATTTATGCCAAGAATTTCCAGATCCCATCAGTCAAGCATCTTTTTCTGGTAACAATGGTAGAAATATGAAAATTATAGTTACAAACTGTGGTATTTTGTATGTGTTGCAGTGAAGATAATACATGGGAGCCAGAGGAGAATCTCGATTGCCCTGACCTAATTGCGGAGTTCCTGCAATCCCAGAAAACAGCACATGAAAGTGACAAGTCGGAGGGAAGCAAGCGCAAGGCTGACTCCGACTCTGAGGATAGGGGGGAAGAAAGCAGACCAAAGAAAAAAAGAGAAGAGGTAAGGCAGTTTCCTTCAATACATGATTCATTCAAGGTTGCTTATATCTTATAAAGAGAAAAAAATGGTTGACAGAAATTTTAAACAGAGTGTTATGACCCAGGTCGCTTAGGCAGAGGCAGATCCTTTATTGCTCTGTTAAATTCCACAATGAACAGCCCCACAACAGCTGGTAAGACCCCACCCGACACTTCCCTGATGGCAGCCACCCTCAGTCCCACAAACAAAAGCCAGTAAGCGACAAAACCAATTTGCAAAGGCAGGGAGGAAGTCCAAAGAGAAGGTGGAAGCTTGCAGGGTAAGGTCCAGAGTCAAGGTCCACAGGGCAAGGCAAAAGGCAAGTCTACTGGGCAAAACAAGTCCACGAGGCAAAGACACAAGGCAAGACTAAGTTTTTCCAAAGCCAGGGGAGTGTATGCCAAAGCAAACAATTGTTCCTGACAAAGACAATCTGCCCTGGCTTCTGCTTAAGTCAACCCACGCCAGGTGTTCCTTGTGAGGAAGGGTGGGGCAACCTCCCGAGCAATCTCGCAGACCTCCTTTGAGCTTGCCCCCACTCTCCGTGCTCTGGGATCGAGCAGGGGAGGCAGCTGTTCCTCATCATGGGATCTGCTGCCCCTCAACAGCACTGCGTGTCTGTAGGTGATCCTCCCTCGTGTCTGTGAGGGCAGGCAGCTCTCCGTCTAGTCAACCACCTCCCCCAATGCCTGAGGGGCCTGGGACAGCCTCAGCCTCAGCCCCGACCTCTCCAAACATTCCAAGGGAGATGTACTATCCTCGTTGGACACACCTAGTTCAAACTCCTCCTCTGAACTGGGATCCGATGGGGCCATGGCACACGGGGACATAATTTTAGTTTACACTTAAGGATCTTTGAGGTGCATAAATACCTTAGGTGTGTTCTGCTTCCTGTGGTTTTGAAGAAATTTATTCTTTCTCTCATGTTTATTGCTCTAGAGTGGGTGTCGGCAACCCACGGCTCCAGAGCTGCATGCGGCTCTTTGGGCCCTCTGCTGCGGCTCCCTGTCCCATCACTAGCTGGCCCCACCCCTCGCCCTCCCCTCCCTCGCCTGGCCTGAGAAGGTAAGGGCGACGGCTGGGGATGGAGAAGCGGCTGGGGCTGATTCTCTGGCACCTTACTCTTGCTGGAGCTTCTTCCGGCCCTTGTTGGTGCTGGGCATGCCTCAGTCGCTTGGGGAGACACGTAACCTGCTGTCCGCCCTGAGACACTGGCCCGACCTGGCTGCAACCGATGCCGGCCTCTAACATGAGGGCTGGTGGGGTGGGAATGGGATCTGGGAGGAGGGGACGTCAGAAAGGGTCTCTCTCTCTCTCTCCCTCCCTCCCTCCCTCCCTCCCCCCACCCAGAGGGTACACACACGTGGAGAGACCCTCCTGAAGCGAGCGGCTGGCCGCCCCATGTGCGCTTTTGCTGCGCTTTGGCCAAGGAGGGTCTCCCTGCTCACTTAAGGAGGGTGTCCCTGTGCGTGCACACCCTCCCGGCCCCACAACAGTCAGCCAGGGGGTCGCAAGAGGAGAAGGAGGGGGAGGAGGAGGGTCACCCGAAGGGAAGCCTCCACCGCAGCTGGTGCTCATTCCTCAGCCAGCCCAAGGAGAGAGAGATACAGAGAGAGATACAGAGGGAGAGAGAGATACAGAGAGAGGGGGAGAGGGGAAAATGGAGAGGGGGGAGATATACAGACAGATACAGAGGGGGAGAGAGATACAGAGAGGGGAGAGAGATACAGAGAGGGGAGGATAGGGGGAGGGGGGGCAGAGATACAGAGAGAAGGGGGAGAGGGAGGGGGGAGAGACAAGGGTTTGTGGCTGGGTAGGTCATGTGACTGGGTGGGAGTGAGTGACATTGAGTTGGCCACACCCACCCAGTTTTTGTGACTCCAGGTGTGTTTTTTTTCTTTCTGTGGGAAACAGGTCCAAATGGCTCTTTGAGTGTTTAAGGTTGCAGACCCCTGCTCTAGAGTTTAGTCTAACATTCTTTTAGGTTTTCATCATTTTTATTTCAGTTTTTCTGTCTATTCATTTTCTATTTTTAAGTCACATCTTTTTTTTCTATTCATCCTTGGAAGTAAAGTCCCAATTTATAGCCATGAAACTTTAATGGCAATATGATGTAGAATTTTCATCCCATTAATATTTATCTCTAGCCCATTGTTAGCTTATTGCCTAGAATTTCAAGGAATACATGATCTCTGGTAGCTACCATTTAGGAGGACATCTGTTCACCAAAACAACAGCTCAAATTTCTTTAAAATTGTTGAAGGTCTATCCTTCAGGTAAATTACATGAGATATTATATTAGGGTTCATGAAATCATAGTTTTGAAGAACATAAATTCCATACTTTAAGAATATATGTACCATATTGTTCTTGATTTAGGATTCCCTCCTTTCTAGACTATAGCAGAAACCATTTTCTGGCAGTAATATTTTGTGTTTTCTGATCAGTCCATATTCAGTGCTTGATCTTTTTGTGCTATCCTCTAAATCAGTGGCCCCCAACCTTTTGGGCCCCAGGGACTGGTTCTGCAGAGAGAAGTTTTTCCGTGGACTGGAAGGGGTGTGGTTTCACATGATGTCTGCATCCCACAGATGGGGCTTTGCTTGTTTGCGCAGCCCGGTTTCTGGCATGCTGCAGCCTGGTGCTAGTCCACAGACTGAAGGTTGGGGACCCCTGCTCTAAATGCAGCACTTATGAACATTTCTTTTTCTTTCTTTAGGCTGAAAAGCCTCGAGGGTTTGCAAGAGGGTTTGAGCCAGAACGGATTATTGGTGCCACAGATTCCAGCGGGGAGCTCATGTTCCTAATGAAATGGTAAATTTGTCCTTTAATTTTTGAAGTTCTCATTGCACTTTTTCAAGCTGAAGTATGACATTTGCTTGTATAAATGTTGAGGAAATGCTGTGGCTTAATGTCTGTGTCAGAATATGGGAATATAACAATAGCAATAGCACTTAGACTTATATACTGCTTCACAGTGCTTTACAGCCCCCTCAAAGTGGTTTACAGTCAGCATATCACCCCCAACAATCTGGATCCTCAATTTACCCACCTTGGAAGCAGTGGTGGGATTCAAAGAATTTAACAACTGGTTCTCTGCCCTAATGACTGGGTGGGTGTGGCTGGGTGGGCATGGCCAAAGTTGATTGGTCTCACCCTTAGGAAATTTCTCCTTAGTCCAACTCACAATAAAATAGCACTGTTCCAATATTTAGAATAGAATAGAATAACAGAGTTGGAAAGGACCTTGGAGGTCTTCTAGTCCAACCCCCTGCTTAGGCAGGAAACCCTACACCACTTCAGACAAATGGTTATCCAATCTCTTCTTAAAAACTTCCAGTGTTGGAGCATTTACAACTTCTGGAGGCAAGTTGTTCCACTGATTAATTGTTCTGTCAGGAAATTTGAGGGGCTCCTACAAAAATGAGGGAATCAATCTATTTTCCAAAGCACCAAAAGGCACAAGAAAAAACAATGGATGGAAACGAGCCAAAGAGAGAAGCAACCTAGGACTAAGGAGAAATTTCCAAAGGGCAAGACCAATCAACCAATGGAATAGCTTGTCTTTAGAAGTTGTGGGCGCTCCATCACTAAAGGCTTTCAAAAAGAGTGAGGGAAGTACACCCCAAAAAGACAGTGCCAGGAACCACTAAAACAAAGCAGAAAACTTAAAACAGCTACTCCAGAGGTGGTATTCAGCAGGTTCTGACCAGTTCTGGAGAACCGGTAGCAGAAATTTTGAGTAGTTCAGAGAACCTGCCAATACCACCTCTGACTGGAGATTTTACACTATCCTTCCCCTGCCACGCCCACCAAGCCACACCCACAGAACAGGTAGTAAAAAAAATTGAATCACACCACTGAGCCATTCCCCTTTTTTAAAAAAGTCAATCCCAAAGCAAATGCAGCAGCTGAGAGAGAAACTAAGAGCAGCTGCTCAGGCTAACTGAAAGCCATTAACCCTTCCAACTATTATTCTATGTTGTCTATGTTCTAAATTGGGTGCTTTACAGCAGAAGCAATACAGCTGGCTGGACCACACATGCATTAAATTTATGGCCTGTATGATCAAGCTGCATCATTGTCCCCTCCTGTATCTTTTCCCCCAGGAAGAAACAAGAAGTAGCCAACACTGCAGCAGCTATAAAAGGTCTTGGGGAACTCCAGGGAGTATCAGCTGATCACAGAAGTGTTACTTAATACTCTTTACAATGAAAATATTTGTAAACTTGTCCTCCTTCCTGAAGGGAAGAGGTTAATCCCATCCCTAAATGGGTGATTGATGGGTTTCCCTGCCCTAATCCTGTCAGTTTCTGTTGTTTATTGACTTGATTCAGCATGTATTGGCTGCATTCCAGCTGCAACTGATAAGTGGTTCTTGGCTGTCTGCCTGCAGCTATTTTTAGCCCATTCTCTGAACTGCATAAGCAATTAACAGTTGGGAGAAAAGGTGAGAAACAGCTGAATCCCACCTGTGCTCGGAAGGCTGAGTCAACCTTGAGCCTGGTGAGACCTGAACTGCCAAATTGCTGGCAGCCAGTGATCAGCAGAAGTAGCCTGCAGTACTGCATTCTAACCACTGCGCCACCACAGCTCTTCCTTATAATTCCTTAGTATAGGATTCAGACAGTATTCAGTTAACACAGTGGTTCCCAAAGTGGGCGGTACCGCCCCCTGGGGGGCGTTGGGATGCCTTGGGGGGCGCTAAGAGGCAAGGTTCGAGGTGCCAGCCCCGCAGGGTCACCCATTGACTGTTGCACTGGAGCTGGCGCCTCGAACGCCCCCCCGCCGCCTGTTAGCGCTCCTCTGCGGGTCCCCTTGGGGACACTAAGAGGCAGCAGGGGGGCATTGGAGGCACCGGCCCTGCAGGCTCACCCATTGACTGTTGCACCGCTCCGGAGCCAGCGCCTCGAACGCCCCCCTGCCGCCTCTTAGCGTCCCCAAGGGGGCTGGCAGGGGGGCATTCGAGGTGCCGGCTGTTACACTGCTCCGGAGCCGGCGCATCGAATGTGGCAGCGGTGACATGTTACATGCTGCCACAGCTACATTCGACATACCGCCCCCCTGCCACCTCTTAGCATCCCCAAGGGGGCCAGCAGAGGGGCGCTAAGAGGTAGCAGGGGAGCGTTAGAGGCGCCGGCCCTGCAGGCCCATTGACTTGTACCGCACCAGAGCCGGCACCTTGAATGTGGCAGCACGTTGGGAAAAGCTGCCACCATCGCTTTCCCAAAGTGCCACCGCTGTCGCATTCTGTCTGTTCGTTCATCCATCCATCCATCCATCCATCCATCCATCCATCCATCCATCCATCCAAAAGGTCTGTCTCCTTGCCTACCTGCCTGCCTGCCTGTCTTTCTGTCTACCTGCCTGCCTACCTACCTACCTACCTATCTATCTACCAATATAGATGTACCTACCTACCTACCTACCTATCCATACTTCCGTCCAAAAGGTCTGTCTGTCTTCCTGCCTGCCTACCTATCTATTTATCTACCAATATATCTATCTATGTATCTACCTACCTACCTACCTACCTACCTGTCTCTCTAGGGAGGGAGGGAGAGAGAGAGAGAGGGAGAAAGAGAGAGAGAGAGAGACACCTGATGCATCAGATTGAAATGAGGCCTAGTTTAGACTGAGGCCCTTTACTACATTGAAACATCTTTGGCTTCTCCGTAGAACTGCTGCGAGCATCCAGAGAGTGGGAGGTGCTTCAGTCCTTCCTTCTCACAGGCTGAGTTATAATTGAAGAACGCTCCTCCTTCCTCCACGTGGCTCCTCCATGCGTTCTCCCAGTTTTCACTCAGCCTTCGAGAAAGCAGGCAGCGATCTCTTGTTCCTTGGCCGTTTTTCAGAGTTTTTGCTTCTAAGTGTTCAGGTTTGCCTTTATTCCTTTCCTCCTTGTCCCTGCGTTGATAGTGTGCTCTTAAATTTAATTGGTGAGGCGTTTTTTTGCCTGTAGGAAAGGGTTTAAGGGCTCGGAGCTTTACTTCGCCCCCCCCACCCCTCCTCCCTTTCTCTGCTTTTCCGAGCGTGCCTTATCCAGCCGCTTGTCTCCGTGCCTTGATTTATTGCACTATCATCATTCCCCCCCTAGAACGCTTTAGAGGAAGCAACGCTTCCTCTCCCAGCCCTGGCTTTTCGTTGTTCCTGATTGCCTGGTAAGCGAATAGGGCTGGTGCGCCTCTGATTGCCTCGCGTCGTGCCGGGCAGCCATTTTGGAACCGCCTCGTGGCCGGCGCCATTTTGTTTTATTTTAAATAATATTTTTTCCTGGCTGTGTGTAATTTTTGTTTTTGGATTTAAGCTGTGTGGATTGAGGCCCTAAGCGGGACCGTCAGGCCGCGTGGAGCCCCTTTTTTTATTGGAGGACACTGTGGTTCCGGCCCTGCTGTCCTTCCTTTAGAGGTTTTTTCTTGTTGGCTTTTTCTATCTGTATCAATCAGCTTGTTCAGAGGCGCGGGCACGTACTTCCCATTGTGTTGGGAGGCTGCCTAAAGAGGCCTACCTATTATACTTATTTTGCTTCCCTTATTTTTTGGCCTCTGCGTTCATTCGGCTCATTTGGATTTGTATTTAATAATTTTTATTATTATTTTCTCCTTGTACCTATTTGGCCCTGTCCTTGGGCCCCGCCCTTAAAAAAAAAAAAAAAAAAGGAGAAAAGAAATTATTATTATTAGTTATTTTATAATTTATTCCAGCAAGCTTTTGTGTAGATATTTTTGGATAGTTTTCTCCTTGTGTTTTTTAGTACTTGGTGTTTTAAAAAAACAAATTCAAATAAATAAATAAATAAATAAATAAATAAATAAAAATAAAAATAAATTTATTCAAAGGGGGACGTGATCTGATTTTGGGAAAACCGGTTTGCGTTTGTAAGCCGAACTCCTAGGCGTGCCAACCGCCATATTTGTTGTAAGGTTTTTTTCCTTGATACCATGGCAGAGAACAATCCAACTGGCTCTTCCCTGAAGGCCAAATCGAAGACGCACTATCTTCGTAAGAGGGACAAGGACTCCTCCAGTGCTTCTCAAAAGGACGCCTTAAGGCGTCACAAAGCTCTGGAAAAGGAGTTCAGTAAACGATCTAAAGAACTGCACACTATAACTACCCCACCTTCTACCTCTGCCCATCCCCCTCCCCTGCCGAGTCGTTCTTCCCCCTCCAGGTGCAGTACATCCACCCGGAGCCGCCAGCCATCCCGTACTCCAGAGGCGACCTTCACGCCAACCGCTGCAGGTCTTCGCCCTGAGGAGCCGCCGTCAACCATCATCCCTGATAGTATCAGGGAATGGATGCAATTTGCTATCCGTCAGGGTATAGCTGATGGAATGCAGCAGCTATCCAGACCTGGTTCTCGAGGGAGGACTTCCGACGTTGAATCTTTATCTGGTCGATCTCTCTCCGGGCAGGCGCCCCAGCAGGGTCAGGTACCTTCTCATATGGATGCCCCATCCCCAGGAGGGGAGGAGCCTCAGGAGGTCTCGCAGGAACAGGAGGAAATGGGCTTTGAGCCCTTCGGGGAGGAGGAAGGCTCTGAGAGGGGGTCCTCGCAGTATTCTGATTTCCTTCTCGGGGACCCTATGGAGGGGGAAATGTCAGAGGACGAGGGCATTTCTCCAGAACAACCGACGGTTGTGGGCCTCTTTAAACCCCAGTTGTTTAAGTCCTTATTATTTAAGGCTAAGAATAGCTCAGGCCTGGCCTCTCAATCTCCTTCTGATCCACCGCCATCGACTTCGGAGGATCCAGATGACCTCATGTTCAGGCAACCGATTGTGGAAGCAGAAGTTATTCCGCCCCCCCCAATCTTCTCAGACTTGGTTGC